AAACCTGAAGATTTTATCTTTTGCTCCAAACCCTGAAGACTGTGACCGTCAAGAAAGAAATGATCTCAGACCCATATTTAGCACGTACATATTCACCACTTCATTCATTTTCCCCTTCATTGGCCCTTCCTAGAACTCCATTTCACCGAGAACAGAGGCTGCCCATTGTTCACCACTGCCAACGGGTACTGGGCTGGGGCTCAGGTTACCAGTCAGGGTGCACAGGTGAGCTCCGTTCCCACAAGCCTCCTGTCATGGATCCTCCTGCCCAGCCCTCCTCAGCTCCCCTCCATCTGCTAACATACATTTGCCCTCCTTTTTATAAAGAGGCAGACTGAAGATTTGTCCAATGGCAATTAAAAACGCAGAATTGTTTCAAAACAGATAAACACCCAGTCACCAAAATTACCGAATCACCAAAACCCCAATGGAAATACCAAGCACAAACTGAGATAAATTTTGCAAAAACTAAAAAAGACAACATTAATATTCCCATTATAAAATGAGCACTTTACTCTTCACTAAGAATTAGGTGGGTTCTCCCTTAGATAAGTTGACTGAGGACAGAAATGTTAAGTTAGGAAAGAAGAAACACAACTTACACTCAGTAAGAAAAGATAAAAATATCCCAACTTATGTGAATCAGAGAAATATGAAACTTCTTTAAATTTAAACTTTAAAATTTATTTCAATGGTTTTAAATTGGCAAAGATAGCCTGGTGCAGTGGCACTCCCTGTAACTCCAGCACTTGAGAGGCTGAGGCAGGAGAACTCCTGCAAGTTCAAGGCCAGTCTGGGCTACAAAGAGCTTTCAAGGCCAGGCTTGACAGTGAAACCCAGACAGTGAAACACTGTCTCAAAAATACAAAAAAAAATTTTTTTTGGCAAAGATAAAAAAAGAATGCTAAATCCTCATGTAGACAAGGACTAGAAAAGTTAGACACTGTCACAGCCAGTTGGTAGGCCTGTAAGCTGATACAACTAATCAGGAAGCTAATGATTGGCTTTGTGCCTGGGCTCAGTACCACCATTTCTGCAGATCTCAGTTTCTTCCTGTGGAGACACATCAACCCATATTGCTGAGTGGAGAAACAGATGGAGCGGTGTGATTCCATTCACCTGTAATCACACATAGTGTACAGTCAGATCTGTACGATATATACATATAAGGAAGATGAAGATGGTTACCGTAGTTCTCTCTGATGGTGGGATTTGTGGATATATTGTTATTAAGTTGAGAGACCAGCCTGTCCCTAGTTCATTCTCACACAGTAACTTGTTGGTAGCCTCCCTTCCCTCTGGGTATCAGGATGGAGGCGTTCTTGCGCTGAGCTGCATTTTCAGGACACATTCCCAGTGGGAAGAAGTAAGGGTAGCGCGAAGGATGTTTTACCTACTGAGAAAGGTCACTCGTTAATACAAACAGCAACCACCTTCAGAGTCTGGAGAAACTTCCTGGACTGAGCTGCCCTAAGAAGGCAAAAACCAACTTGTTTATGTGTAGTTTCTATATATTTTTTTCCCTTTCTGGAGCATTTATCCATCCCTCCCACTCTCCTGTATAGTGTGACTCTTTTTCTCTTTCTTTTGAGAATGAAAGAGAAAGTCAGCCAAGCCATAGTAAATTGTCTAGCAGGTGGTGTCCTCCCATCCAGCCACCCCAAAATTCCCCCTGGGGGTATCCATGGGCAAGTGACCGAAGCATATGACAAGCATGTGTGTGTCCTGGGGTGGGGATGGTTGGCGGAGGTTTCCTGGACTTTTCACTCGGTTTTCTTAGAAACAGTTGAGCTTTTATTTAAATGTGTCTGCACAGACATTGTTATGAAGAACAAAAATCAAAGTTAAAATTTCTTCTCTCTGGACCCAAAATTCACTCTGAGGGAGAAGACTGAAAAAAAAGTGACCCTTGAGTTTTTAGTGGAGAAGGTGGCAGAGGATGACAACTTATGTTGCATGGCCCTTTCTTCTGCTCAGAAGCTAGAAACCCCTCAGTCCAGGTGGGCCTGAGGGAAGTTGGTGGACAAGGACTCTGGCAACCTTCTAAAGAGACTTTCTGCTCCACACAGACCCCAGGTTGCTTCATCCTCTGGTTTTAAAAAGAAGGCAGATATGGGATTTTTATATCAAATCTCTAAATGTGAACACCTAGGTGACAGATTGGAATATTGAAACGATATTGTATGAACCAAATGAACTAGAGCAGGAGCGGCCTTAGAGATCATCTTATTGCATCTCTTACTTTGGCAATGACCACCTGAGGCGCAGAGGAAGAAATGACCTGCACATAGGAGGCCAAAAGCTGGACCAGGTCTAGAACAGCTGATCATAATGCAGACTGACTGACTGATTGAGTGACTGATTGTACTAAGGATTAAAGCAAAGGCTTTTGCACTGAGCTACATTCCCAGTCCTTTTTAAAACTTTTTTATTTTGAAACAAGGTCACTATGTTGCCCTGCCTGGCTTGAACTTGTGATACTCCTGCCTCAGCTTCCCAGAGTACTGGGATTAAAGGTGTGAGCCAGAAACTGATGGCTCTTTCAAATAACCAAAAGTAGTTAGATGAGTCCTCCATTACCCTGCTTTTTCCTTTCAGTTACTTATACATTCATATTTATCTCATCTTTATTGTTTTCTAGGCAATTTGGGGAGTTGTTCAGACACTATTTTTAAATTCTAAGTAGTTAAGACAAAAGGTATACTTTTATGATGTATTTTTACTTGTCTTGGCTTATGCTCAGGAAATTTTGCTTGAACATTTTCACCTTTTACAGTTTATTGATATTTTCTTTGAGCCAAACATATGATCAATTTTTGCAAAAATCCCAAGGCCCAAATAAAAATAATGTTTATTTTTCTTTTCTAAGGCATTGAATTCTTTTTTGTTTGTTTGTTTGTTTGTTTTTTGGTTTTTTGGTTTTTTTCTGGTACCGAGAATCAAACTCATGACCTTGAGCTTGCCAGGCAGGCGCTGTGCCACTGAGCAAAATCCCCAGCCCTAAGGCATTGAATTCTATGCATGTGCCAATTAGAAGATTATAAACTTTGGATGCTCTATGTAATTTATTTTTGTTTTACTAAAGCTTTCAAGTTCAGAAATAGATATATTAAGGTATTTCATTAAGTTATGTGTTGTGCACATTTTGAGTCCTTGCGTATTTAGTTTTTGTTTTATTCCTCTTTATTATTTGGAATATCAAAATTTATAGACTTTTTTCCACAATGTGCATTACACCATACATTTTATCTATGATAGGTCTTATAACCTTGATTAATACTTTGACTTTAAATTCCACTTTGGCAGGGCTGGGGATATAGCTCAGTGGCACAAGTGCCTGCCTGGCAAGTGCAAGGTCCTAAGTTCGATTCCTGGTACCAAAAAATAAAAATAAAATAAATTCCTGCTTTCTCTTTGAAGTACATCTGTTTCATTTCCTTTTGTTCATCTTTTATTTTCTTTAGGTATGTCATTTAGATTAATATAAATGTTTATATTATATTATTAATTAATACATTTGCTTATTATAAAAATTTATGCAATTCAGAAAATCTATGCAACTCAGAAGAAGGCAATAAATCACCAAAATTCTACTACCTAAAAATATCATCATTCTGGACATTTCTCCACACACAGAAAGAAAGATTTAGAGGACAGAAGAAGAGAAAAAGAGACAGTGAAACAGATGAAAACAGTTATGTAAAGATAGTATCATACTATATGAAGCATTTAAAAAGCTGCATATTACATTCAATTTTAAATGAATTTAACAGGAACAAAAGCTTAGGTCAAACTGTGTTTCAGATCATTGTACCTCTCAACAAGGGAAATAAATTCTTAGAAGATGCCACCAAATTTAAAAGAACTTGAAAAGATGGGTTCATTGTGAAATTTTAAAAATGTGTTTCCATATAGACGGGATGACCAATTAGGACTCAGGTTTTTCACCTAGTTCTTCAACATGTAGGGTTTACAGGAATCTGGGATCTTAGCAGAAAAACTGGTTATTTTGCATAACTGCCTCAAAGTTCAGGAACTTATTAAGGGGTAACCTCCCATTAGTAGAGAGTGGGCTGCATTTTATGCTGCCTGAGGAAGTTCAATATATTTAAATTCCTCAAACCACAGGAGTTTTGTAAAAAGCAGCCGAAACTCCCTTTAGAGGGAGTGGTCTGCCTGCACCCCGCCCCTCATGTTCCCTGAGGAAATTCTTTTTTGTCCAAAGTCCTAGTTCACTGTCTATTCTTAATTTTTATCAGTATGGCTGGTCACCCCACTCTATCTCAGGCCCTTCCACTAGGTAGGTATAAGCTGAGTAAATAAACTATTTTCTGCACTACCACACCTATATCTATGGCCTCAGAGGAACAGGATATTTGATTTTAATCATCCTGTAGTTAGCAAGATGTCACCCATCATCCAGCAGAGTTCTGAAAAGAGTTCATAGAATGCTGTATTTACTGAGTCCTTTCATCCCTGGAAATGTAAGCTTTTCCCTTTCTGCTTCGCCTTCATCTTGCCTGGATATGAGACAGGATATTAGGGCACGGCAGAACTGGCTGGGGAAGTAGGTGTGACCTGTTAATTACAAAATCCCAGGACACATTCACAGAAACATCCCAAAAGTCCTGCACATCAACTTCTTGCAAGAACTTGAGCAGGTTTTCGATAGGATGCCTGGACCTGACCTCATCCTGAGGAGTGATGGTAGAAAAAGGACAGTCTGCGTGGAGTTTTTAGCCACTGTGTTCACTCTCCCGTGTAGCCCACCCTCAAGCTGTAGTGTATATTCCTACTCCTAATTTTACTTGGCCCAGACTCACTCTGCTGAGCCTGTTTCTTTTCCTACCTTTACTAAAACTTTGCTACTGTTTGTGCTTGACTTGACCATTTCTTTGCTTAAAACAGAAAGAACCTAGAAACCACTTCCAGAAGGAGACTCCAGACTGCAAAATCTGGGCACAAATAGTGTCACTTAGATCATCCTCTTTTTCCTTTAGGTATTTTTCTTTGTTCTGGAACTGATGGTTCCTGGAAAGACATCTGAAACCTACGTTTTTCTCCCTGTAAGTACTTTTTTTTGTCTTGAATGTGAAAAAAGTATGTTTTTCCTGAGTTTAATGGTTTAGCCAGGGTGTGTCTGAAGGTTTACCGTTACAGATTTTTCCCAATAAGTGGCATGTATTTTCAATCTTCACACTCCCAGCTGGACCCACCAGTAGTTGTGTGACTTTGGCGAGATCACTTACCCTCTCTGGGCCTCAGTTTCTAAGGTCACAGAGGGCAGCAATATTGGTCTTAATCCCCATACAGCATTATTGTGAAAATCAAATAAAGAAATGGCTATGAAGGTATTCTGCACACTGCACAGTGTATGCTGTTATCTCATTACCCAGGTATAGGTGGCATTAAGCCAGTGCTTTTATAGCTACTACCCAGTTCCATTAAAAATCAACTCAGAATTTCCCAAGGGATGATATAGCCTCTTGAGTATCCAGAAACCTGACATTTCCTCTTTGTTCTGCTGGCAGATCTGGGATGGCTTTCTAGGATGTAAATTGCCCACAAGCTGTACACAGTTGAAATTGATTAACTCTGGGGAGAAGGTGGTAAGAGATTGGGTTGAGTGAATCCCAACCTGAGAATGCAATGCTGTTGTTGTAGGAATGATATCAGGACCTTCAAATGATACTGGGAAAATATTATAACTCCCAACCTGCGAGATGTCTGATATGCCAAGTTCATCTTCCCCAAAATCAAACAGTGAATTCTGAGGAACAGTAGAGGTTAAGAGTAGGAAATTTTATTGAGGGAAAGACAACCCCTCCCTAAGAGAGACAGAAGGGGACCCGGAAAGTGGGTTGCTGCAGACTCCACTTACAAGGGAAGCTTGATAGAGCAAAATCACATAGTGGGTACGAAATCATGAGGTGGGTATAAGGTGGGATAAAACTATGATCAACCAATAAGATTACAAGTATAGTCACTTAGGTAATACTGATCCAATGGCAAAGCACGTCACATAGCAGGTGTACATTGAAAGAACAAGGACCTTTCCTGGAAAGGATGGGTCAAGGAGGTCTTGCCCCCATGTGGGTAACTGATACCTTTTTAGAATATCAATCATTATTATTTATCCCTTGGGCAAGTATGTAGGTGTAGTCATTCCATCTTTGTTTTGAGGCCTGGCCTTCAGTGAATGGGCCTCCACCCACAGTTGTAATGTGTTCTTATCATCTGCACTGTCTTCCCCAAGGGCCTAACCCTATCTGACTGTCTGTAATATTTCTACCTAACTTAGCTGTCTATAATACTGTGAACTTGAAAGGTCGTAGCCATCTTGCAATGCTTCTTCCTAGTACTACACATGCACAATGATTTATGGACTCTGTGTTGGGTGGAAGGAATTATGTTGGCACAGGGCCCCGGGCAGAGTTTCTCTAAGTGGATTTCCCTGAGACACTTAGTGTTAAAGGGTCTGTCCCCAAGTCACCTTCATTAGGGAAGCTGCCACATTTGCATATTAACTCATCTTCTTACATATGATGAGGGAATATTTAGCTTTTGAAAAGCTCAGAGAAGACCCACAGTTAAGAAACTTGAACAATTTTAAGCTGGTATTGTCAAATTTATTTCACCATGAAACCCCAACCCTCATGTCAGCCTGTGGACTGACACAAGAAATAGGTGTCACAGGAAGTAGGGTTGCAGTGTGGGTCACATGTACAAAAATTTGATTACCAGAGACAGTCCAGCTTGTTTGGATTCAGCCTCCGGCCAGCCTTGGGTATCAATGCGCACATGATGGCTTCCAGTGGGAATGAGCACCGGTCTGGGCAGAGATGCAGCTGGGAGTGGGGAGGGGCCCAGCAACTGTGCAGACCGCCTCTGGCTATGGAAGTGTCCTGGGAGAGCACTTGAGAGGCCAGGATGGAGGCAGGCTAAAGGGTCAGGTGGGGTCCCTATGCCAGGTGTGTGGTCTGCGGTAGGGAAAGCTCTGAGTTGGGCTGCTATCCTGTTCAAATCCCACCAGCACCAGGGACAAGCAAGCTGTGCAAGGTTGGGCAAGTCCCTCCTAATCTCTGTCTCATGGTCCTTGTCTGAAAGGGGGATGATAATAGTTCCTACCTCATGTGTTTTTGGAGAGCTTTGCAGAGAGCCTGCCAGATCAAGTTTTCCATAAATATTGGCTATTGGTTCTATGCAAATCTGCTTTTTCTTTTCTGTTGTGTGTATGGCTGCTTCCTTGTCCGGTGCCTTTCTGGGATGTTGGTGTCAGTCTCTAGGGGTGGTGAAGGAGGTGCCTCTCTAGGAATTTGGGTGCAGTGTGGTGGGGAAACAATAGAGGGTAAATAGCACAGGGCCAGGGCTTACCCTAACGTTCCAGCTGCTCTCACTACGCCTCAAGCTGGCTGGTTCAGGTAATCTGTGCTGGCCTGGACAGCACAGGCCAGAGAGCAAACAGGCCAGATAGGTGCCTTGGCGCACACACACACACACACACACACACACACACACACACACAGGCCAGATAGGCGCCTTCACACACACACACACACACACACACACACCCTGCCACCCTTCATTCTTGGAGCTCTTTACTGTCTTGTAGCCCAGTAGCACATAGAAGGGTGAGTTGGGAGAGCTCCTTCTGTGGAATCTGGCTACCAGAACCACCCTGAACAAGGCAGAAGGATCGGAAGGCACCCCAGGGTGATCAGAATATTCTTGTCCGAGTGCCCAGAGTTCTGTTGTTAGAATGTTTGGATGAAAGCCATTGGGCCTTGTAATGGTTGATACACTGTGTCAGCTTGAGAAGTTTAGAAGTTTAACTTAGCGGGAGCCAGGGTCCTCACTTTGTAAACATCCTCATCCTGTGCAAGAGGCATGCAGGGAGATGGTGTGAGTGCTACACCCATCCTGGGGAGGGGTAGCCTGCTTACAGTATAAAGGAGGAAAAGGGGCTTGTTCTCCCCTCTTCTTGCTCTTGCTGCTTTCGCTGTCTTCTGCTGCCTTTAACTGTTGCCCCTGTGCCATGCCACCCTGCGCTGGAGCCAGCAAATTATGGACTGAAACCTCGACAAACTGAGCTAAATAAACCTTTCCTTCCTTGGGGCTGGGGATTTAGCTCGGCGGTACAGTGCCTGCCTGGCAAGTGCGAGGTTGTGAGTTCAATTCCCAGTACCAGAAGAAAAAAAAAAACAAAAAAATAAAACCTTTCCTTCCTTAATTTTGGATGTTGGGTATTTTGTCTTAGAGAAAAACAAGACAGGCCTCCAAACTTATCCTCAGTACCCAAGGCAGGGTAAAGGTGTGGCACATTATTACTACAGCTTTGGCCTGGGCTAAATGGACACTAGGTGGATAAATGCTGATGGATTATACAAAGCCAGTGGTGGGATGCCCAAGAGGACAGATGTGGCTGGAAGGGCCCCTGTGGGAGCCTGGACGGCACACTGAGATCGGAAGGCAGGATGGCAGGATGTTTGGAGTCAGGAGGCCAGCTTGCAAGTTCTGACCCTGCAGTTACTCTCAGTGGAAGCTCAACCCTATGGGTGGAGGTGGGAGCCCCTCATGGGCAAACTGAGGCCTACCAACCATGCTTTAAGGCCTCAGGGGTCACTCACTTTACCTAACTCTAAGTTTTTCTGATTCTTTGTGCTAGAAGCCACTTGGTCAATGAGACAGCAAGGAGCCCCACAAGGACTGAAAATAAGAGATGATTAAGGTGACAGCCATCGTGCCTGAAGCCCAGTCGCCGTGGCTCAAGCAGCAAGGGACAGAGAGGGTCCAGGACCTGGCAGCTGCCCTGAGCCCTGCCCTGCTGGACCCTCCCTGGGTGGGGAGCAGGCAGAGGGCAGAGAGCAGACTCAGGCTTCCTAGAGCAACAGCCCCAAAGCCCAGTGGCCAGCCTCCATTCAGCTCTCTCCCCCACCTCCTTGTGACCTGTCACAGCACCCTCCCCCAGGGGCCTGGTCAAAAGACCCAGGAAAGCTGATGCGAGGAGAAAGGCAGAAGGCCCGGGATGGGACCTGAACTGTCTCACACAGAACAGACAAGGCCTCTGCAGGCCACAAGTGGGTGGCCTGGCCAGGTCCCTGCACTCTACAGGGTGCTGCTACACCCAAGGGTCTCTGAGCCAGGTTTCTGTTGCTTCCAGGGACAGCAGAGGGAGAGCCAGGTGAGTGGAGAGGGTGCCCTCTCCCAGGATGCTGAAGGCTAGGGGTGTTTCCTGAGAGCCCTCCTCTGCCCCCGCTTTTGCAGGACAGCTCCTTGCTGCCCCCCTTCCTGCTCTCTTCAGCCGTTTTCCACCTCCCTTTCGTTGGCTCCACTTCCCCTCCATGCCCATCAAGGAAACCCAAGGCCAGTGTTTCCTTTCCTGGTCCTCACCCAGGACTGATGTTCCTCACATCTCCCTACCTCTTCCCTCGGTCACCAAGGGCTCACTTTATTCTGTTCTGGGCCCTGGTGGCTGCAGTGGGAGGCTGTTCACATAGCTCCTCAGGGATCTGCAGTGGTGACTGTGATAGGATCTGAGTTAATGACCCCAGGGAGGAGAGGAAGCCAGTGACCCAGCCTTTCCTGGGCCTGGCAGAAGTTGGCTTAGCTTGACTTCTGGGAAGAGCAAAGGATGCACAGGAGTGTGGAGGAGGAAGTTGAGTGTGTTGGGAGAGGGGTGATGGAGTTGAACCATCCTGGAGCAGGGTCTTGGGAGGCTGTAGTGGGGAGGAACTTCAAATCCCACTTAGGAATCTCTCCGTTCCATTTCCGCTCATTTTGCTTAGCTGTGAAAAGCATCCTGGGAAGTCAGCAGATGGGCTTTGAGAGTTCACAAAACAATGAACAGAGACAAAGCACCACCCAGTGTGGGGCTCACCTCTGATGTGCCGTCCAGGCACCGAGGGAGACCACCTGCCTCCTGCCTGCGTAGCCCAGCACTTCCTTTCTCGGCCTGCTCAGCTGTTAACGCCCCGCTCCTGTGATAGGGTTCTGTGGGGACAGTGCAGGGGGTCTCTAAGATTCCTCCTTGTCAGTCACAGCCTCTGCAGCCCTGCTCATTTTCCCC